TCTAAGAAACAAGCCCAGCACAACCATCTACTATGAATTTCTGAGAAATTTCTTAATTTTTGAGAAATTTCTGAGAAATTTCTTAATTTTTCTGTACTATCAAAAAGACATCACTGCATGCCTGAGGAAGTAGACTTTGATCCACGAAAGCTCGCATAGTGTTTGATTTTTTTAAAGTGGTCTAAGAAAGTTATTACCTGCTCCCGCATTACATCGAAACTTGTACTTATTCTAATCTCTAGCAGCAATTTCAAATAAAGCTTCATTTGTTGATTTAAAGACTATGAAACTGCCATGGCTTTGTCTTCAGTAAGTTTTGGCTGAAAGTGGGACTCCAAAATTATTTGGCAAAATAATCCATCTGTTGTTTTGAAATAAATCTTTCTTAGTTGTCCTGCTGTGGATGCACACATTTGTAGTACTGTTGATTTACATCTCCTTATAAACCAGTTTCATCTAAATATTTCAAAGTGGTTTACATCAACTAAAGCAAATATAAAAAACATATAAAATCAATGTATAGTATCTATACTATAAGCCAAAATTCACAATAGGCTGGGGTATACCAGGAAAAAATAAGGCTCTTTTTAATATAAATGCAGAAATAACTAGTCTTGAAACATGTCTATTATCATTACGAATAGCCTAAATTGCTCTCATGCCCTTCTTCCCCATTTTACCCACAAAATCTTCCTGGTTATTCTGTACTTTGCTGTCCTATTAACTACTCTTCACTGTAATAGGGTGAACAATCCTTTTTCTTTCCTCCAAATCAAAGGTTAGTGGATTCTTTTGAACTGCAGAGAACGGGCACTATGTTCCTAGTGGGAACATTCTGTGTGACGCCCCATTTGGGGACACACTTTCTTACCACACCAATGACATGAAGGCATAGAAAATGCAGAAAAACACAGATGATAATAAAATCACCCAGATTGCGCAGGCCCCAAGTTTGAAGATCTACTCCTTCAGGGAGCACCTGCGCTAGTAAAACCAATCTCCTACTTTTCCATGAAGTAGATCTCATGAACAACAAACAGGCTGGCACAAAAATGAAGAGGCACTTTTTGATTTTACATGGTATATTGCACCATTCAAATGTCCTAGTCCAGAAAAGACTGGAGTATCCCACACACCACACCAGAACACAGAGTTCTAACTCCTGTCCTCTAAAGGTGCTGGCCACAGAGACTGGCAAAACATTAGGAAGAAAAACCTAATGGCCAAACAGCCTCGAAAAACCTACAACAACTATACAAGTTATCTTTACGGTGCCACCATATTTTTGTCTTTTTGAATTTATTTTTATTTTGCTTTTACCTATAATTACTACAATAAAGTCATGTTGGCATTCTACTGACTGACCATCAATGTAAGGTGTCTCGGTGTGAACAAGGAGAGGGATTTATCCTAAGAGCAAATCCTTGAGACATCTAAAATCTAATCACAAATCTCCATATATGGTGCTTAGCACTTCATAAGATGAAGAAAAAAATTAATGCTAAAACTTCTATCACACAAATCAGCTGACCTTTAGGTTCTTATGATGACTAACTCATGGTGAGTAACTAATGAGCAAGTAAACTTTTAAATTTAAGTAGCAGCTGGTGGTGATGTCAGATCATGCAAAGCTCTATCTGCTGGTCTGATCAGTGACGGCTATTTCACACATACAACGTTCAATGGTAATTGTGCATTTTGAGATCTATCACTGTGATTATAATAAGACTCTCCAAGACATACGTCAGAGGTCTTGAAAAAAAGTGTCTTAATTCAGATATGAAAACCATAGCTAATTTGTAGAAACAATTATTCCTGGAAACTTATTTTATTATTTTCATGTAATTACCAAGAAGTCTGTCTAGTGATCCAACATTTTGTCCTTGGCTTGCAAAAGTTTGCTTGCTGAAAGACAACTGGCAGCTATTTGAATTATCTTGTTTTCTCAGTGTCACAGAAGGATTATTACTATATCTGGGTAATTCAGATTTAAACTGAATTCTACACCTAGTACTTTTGAGCTTCCGTTTTTGTTTATTAACATCAGTCTTCTTAATTGAGAAGCTATCCTCTGGTGATGAAAACTCTTCTATACTCTGAGAGTCAGCATTGCCTGATCTGCTTCTATGCGAAACCATTCCAGAAGGGTTATTAAGTTGCTTGTTCTGAAATTGTTCTTGTTTCATAGTGTTGGTGAATTCCTGCTTTCCTGACTTAAACATCTCAATATCATCAGATTCGTCACTAACGTCACTTGCTTCATTCACAGTTCTGATCTTTGACATGTTTTCAAATGGTTTAATTTTACTGTATGGTGAAATACTACTCCTATCCTCCTCAGAAGTCAAATGAGATGTACGCATGGGGCTTTTTTCTGTATCATGGTTGGCTGCAGTGTTTTTATAACTTTTTGCAATTTCCTGACAAACAGGAACTTGAGAAGGGAAGACAATGTCTTCATTTTCAGTGGAACTGTCTTCAGGTTCCACAGCAACGTCAACTTGTTTAGAAATGCACATGCTTTCATGCTGATTTCCAGCACTCTTTTCTTCCTCAGTGCTTAATGAAACTGGAGAATCCCAATTTGCAGTTTTTCTGTGCACCTCTAGTTTTGCCATTCTGACTGAAGAGTCAGATGTTTTCGGATGCCCGGAAGTACAACCATAGCTCTCAGTCTTTAGAGAACAGCCACTAGAGCAACTTCCTTTGGAACTCCGTCCCACAGATTTGCCACCAACACTTTCATCACTGGAGCTGCTGATGCAGTCACCATGCTCAGCTGTTTTGGGCCTCTTTTCTAAAAGTTTTGGAAATCCACACTGCAGTAAAGTAAGTTGCCCTTGTAAAACCTTGGTACTTCTTGCATTGCACAATCTGCTTCTTTCTGCTTTTCCCTTTGAATTTCGCACAAGCTCTTCATCACTGAAGTCACTAGAATCAAATCCTTTATTTCCCAATGGTTCCTTGGGACAACCAGCATCTTGGTCTTCACAACCAGGCTCTGCCTGCTGAAATAATGCAAAGTCAGGGAACCACGGAACAATTTAATCATTTAAATTGACAACTTGAAATATAAACTCTAATGTTCATTTTTTCAATTATAATTAATAAGTGCGATTGGCTCTACCTAACCATGTGCGTAGTTTCATTCACACAATGATCCCACAGTCAGAAAAGTGTGATGGTGATTTTCTGACAATCTTTTTGCCCCTCCTGTGCAACCTGAAAAGCTGCTCTAGAGCAGGCGCCCCCAACCTTTTTCACCCCACAGACCAGCTGGGGAAGGCGGGGCACCCCCGCAGTCAGGTGCATGGGCGAACGAGTGCTCATGCGTATGCACAAATGGTGATGCGCACTTGTGCAGGCAGGCACATGCTTGTGTGCATGCACAAGCAGCGCCACGGCACTCACATGGGCATGCTGGAGCGTGCACGCATGTGCAAACAGGCTGTGCGGGGGTGAATGCGTGCAGGGGGGGAGGTCTGTCTTCACGGCCCAGTACAGCTCAGGCCACGGACCGGCACGGGCCGCGGATCAGGGGTTGGGGACCTCTGCTCTAGAGAATTACGGGACCCTCCAATATACTGTTGAAGGTTGTTTGGAGAGAAGGGACTGAAGAAAAAATTTGTGCCAGTAAAAACAGGTCCCACCAATCCTTAACCAAGCCATCCCTTCTACATAGGGAATAAAGCATTTTACTCATGGAAGAAAACATCTCAGTCCAACTCATACAGTAAGGTAAGCAGGCATGTGAGAACATCAAACAGTATTTTCAAAACATCATGCTCAGAAATTTTGTGATTGTTGGGATACCTGCACATGTCAAAAGCAAGCCCACTGTCTGTCTATTTAAAAAAACTAATTGTCTTCTCCCTGTAGCTTCCAGTGTTTCCTTTGTGTGGTGCTCTCTGGATTTAAGATTAATGACTTTTCAAGATAAATAAGAATCCAAACCAAAAAAGCTCAAGTTATATGAGGACAAGTCCAGCAACTAGGAAGCAAGTGGCACTCTGTTCAGTGGGGCCTTATCTCTATTAAGTATGTAATGATTAAAGCTTAATTATTTTCAAGAGCTTTTGCAATAATTGCAGAGGCAGTGACTTTTATTATACAAACAAAAGCTTCTTGCTAAAGAAGACATACATTTTCATTTACTTTTTACTGGACTTGTTTGGCTGTTTAATTGAGTTCTCTGTTTTATGTCATACTTTGATGGTGCCGTGCTTACACTACACTTCTGGTACACATTTGTTATAGGAGCAGCAGTCATTTTCATTTAGAACATTTTTATAAATACTGTAGAAAAACAAATGCTACACAAGTCAAGCGCAATTCGTAGACCTAAAGGCATTAGAATCAGGAAACGGTTGGCTCTGAAATTATGCAAAGGCTGTTGGCGCCATGCATGTATCAACAGTCTACCAATTTCTTCTACTTTTTTGGTAAAGATATTTCAAGAGATTTTTGCCTAGAACTTACGGGTAGACCCAACTAGAGGATGCCTACTCACTCAAGGGTTGAATGGGGAGCCAATACTTACATAAACCCATTCATTCAATGGATCTGTTCCAACTGGGACTACCAACAGGAGTTTGGCCATTGTTACTTTGTTGTAGGATGCAGAAGCCTCCGACAGCCCCATCCTCCGTAAATCTGGCCAATCCCCTTTTAAAATTTCCACTCTATCCCCAATTGAAAGATTTTTTTAAAGCCCACTCAAGAAAAATGTGACTTGTAAAGAGAGAAAGACTACTCGGCAACTTACCCTTTCTGTCTCATCAGGCTGGAGTTCCTCTTTTAACCATGTAGTAGCTGTCATGACACCAGCTTCCACTCTCCCTTCTCTCTAGAAAGCAGCAAAGCAATTTTTAAAAAAGCTTTTGAAAACGAATTTTACAACTTTATTTACTGTCCTACACTGTAATCCTTCTGTACCTCAGTGCAGTGTACCATATGTACTAATGCAGAACTCATTCTGTGAGTGCTGATTTTGTATAACAAATGTGAACACAAATCAGAAGAATCAGCAAGCTTGCAGGAGCCACAGGCTGTAGTTCAGCAAGATACACATGCCTAACATTAAAAAGGTCCCCGCTAGAGATGGGCACAACCTTCGGTTCAGAAGTTCATGCCAGTTCATATGCATGGCACCACAAGTGCTGCATGTTCCCTTCCACTGCCTCCCCAGCTGGATCCCTTACTCACCAGACAAGCTCTTCTCCTCCTCCTCTTTGGCTGATCACTCACTCAGACATGGAGGCACGGCAGGTAAACTTGTGCTCCTGCCGAGGACTGGCTGAACAGGAGGAGGAGAGGAGCTGGCACCAGATGGTGCGTGGGTCACTGGCCACAGAGGCACGGGAAGGGAACGAGTCACATCTGAGCCATTAAGAAAGAAAGAAAAGTTGAGTCCAAGTTGAGTCACCAGGGCTACTTAAGTCCAACTTGACAGTGAGCCCTGCAACTCAAGTCCCCGTCCCTGAAAAATAGTATCCACCAAGAGAAACAACGCTCTGTGCATCTGATGAAGTGGGCTGCGGTCCATGAAAGCTTATTCTAAACAGAACTTTTCAGTCCTTATGGTGCCGGAAGACACATAAGCCCCATTAGTTTTGCTGCAACTGATGAAGAGTGTTACCCCCCCCCCAAGAAAAATTATTCTTATGTTTCCCATGGACTGAATCTGTAATTTTACATTTGTAAACAGTCTCCAACATTTCAAAGCATGCATTTTTCTATATGTGAACATACAAAGACTGGATGAGAACATACAAAGACGTTCAAAAGGACAAAGAAAAAAACACCAAACCTCCAGAATTTCTTTTGTAAGACAGGATCCACAATCCCGAAACTTGAACAGATTACGGATTCCAAAAAGTTCTCCTTGATGTTCTTTCGATCCTTGAACTGCCTCAAAATATCGCTTGGCATTTTCACTTCCCACCACTACACAATGCAGTTGCTAAAACAGAGCCACACAGAACATTTTAAAAGCATGTTCTTGTAACAATGTGTCAGAATTTCCTGGCATTTACACTCTACACAGAAATGTAGTCAGAGTAGGTATAAGTTCTGTGAGGAGAAAATATTATGTTTTATTTTCCCTGGCAGATGCTGCCACTGTAGAGTAATATTAACCCAAGTAATTTTATTGAAAAGGAAAGAAAATGTGGTCTGAAGTCTTCTGCGTCCACTGCGTATATAAGAAATAAAATCAAATATAACAGCTTACAACAGACCTATTATTTTCAACTCACTGTTCTTGTTGTTGCCATTAAACACAGAAGGACAACAAAAATTTATTTCTACACAGCTAAGAACTGCACATCATAAAAGCAGGCAATACACCTTTTCATTGCCATTATCCTCATGGATATAGTAAGAATTTCATTTATGTGGTGCAGGAAAAAAAAGGCAAGGAATACCCTGTAGACAACATTTACACCATAAGGGTTGTCCTTGACTTAGACAGCAGCCAACTGTCTCCAAGTGCACCTGCTCAGAGAGAAAGGGTCAATCAACGTCAACTAAAGTATCTACCCAACAAAGTGCAAAACAAACCAACAAGATGGGACTGGTCCCCAAAAACAAACACCCATGGGGAAAATACAGAACAGATAGCAACAGAAAAACAGTTCCCAACTAAAGTCACTTCAATATATAATCAGGGACCCTTCCTTGTCACAGACTTTTGAGTGGTAGGTTCCTACTTAAAGACAACTTTCCAGCTCAAAAAGATTACTCACCAGCAACAACAGATCTAAGAGAAAAAATAAAGATACAGGAACCAGATCTTGTGAGAGGCCCAGACACCAATTATATCCTCATGTCTATTCTCGAAACACTATTACAGGACTTATTATTGTCATTCATAACATCAGGAGTGCATAATACGCCATCATATGTGAGCAGAGCCCTAACGCACTTTATACAAACAGGCCAGGTTCTCTGCTAAACAATAAACGGACACAAAACTGACATCAGAAATAGTAATAATTCAAAACTAATGGAGGAATACTTCAGCCCCCTAGGACTCCGCCTCTGACCCCCCCGATGCCTATTACTGAACAAAAGAACATTAGAAACAGATTCCTATGGAAAATCGCTATGGCTTGATTAAAAGAAAATTCACTGCCCTAGTGAGCTTACAGTCTAAATCCTCATAGCAGAAAAGAGAAGAGTGCAAGAAGATACCATTGACCACGGTATCCTCCAAAGGAGGTTCTCTGGATTGGAGATGGTGGCCTGGCTTCATCCTAGCTCTCGTCCTTCCTGGAGGACCATCCCCAGAGATTGTAACTTGGGTCCACTCCTTGGACTCTCGACTGCGGTATCCCTCACAAGTTGATCATCTCCCCATGGCTGTTTAATATCTATATGAGGCCGCTGAGGGAAGTCATCCAGAGATTCAGAGTGATGTGCCACTGATATCGTGAAGACATGCAGCTCAATCTCTCCTTCCACCCTTTTGCACTGGATGCCGTCCCATCCCTTGAGCACGGCCTGGCTGCAATACTAGAGTGGATGGGGGGGGCGGTTTCAACAGATTGAGGCTGAACCCACACAAGACAGAGGTCCTTCAGGTGGGTGCTATGGCTGTTTGCAGATTGGGTGCCTCCCTTTCCTTTGGGGGGGGGGTGCTACTCTATCTGTGAAGAATGAGGTTCGTAGTTTGGGTGTGTGTATGGTGACACTGTGATCTGATCTATTTCCATTTCAGGCAGGTTGCCCAGCCTTGACACTGGTCCCTCACCACATTCGTCCGCACACTAGTAATCTCAAGATTCGACTACTGCTCTTTACATGGAGATAGCAATAAGGCTGTTACAGAAACTTCAACAGGACCAGAACACAGTGGACAGATTACTGAGTGGAGTGAATAAATATCAATGTATCGTCCCCAATTCTGGCCACCTTCCACTGGTTACCTGTCCATTTCCATACCAGCTTCAAGGTGATGGTTCTAATTTATAAAGCCCTAGAGAGTTTGGGACCTCAGTACCTGGCAGAATGCCTAATTCCAGCAGGATCTGCCCATTCTTACAAGAACAGCTGAAGATGCTGACCCTGAGAGAGGCCTGGGGGGAGAAGATGAGAAACCAGGCCTTCTCGGTGGTTGCTCATCGGCTATGGAATGAACTCCCCTTTGCAATTCGTTTGGCCTCTTCACTGGCAATTTTGTTTTAAAAAATCACTAAAAATCAGGGTATTTAGGGAGGCATTCCAACATGTTATACCTGCAGACTCAGCTGAGCTTAGCCAGCCAACCTGATTTTAGATGTTAAATTTTAAATGTTAAATGTTATGAATGTCTTATGTAAACGTATTTTTATATTCTGATGGTATTGTTTATTTGCATATTACAGTATTATTTCTGTTTCTTCTTTTGTTACATTATATTTTAATCCTAGTGGACTTCGGCCAGATGAGCGGTATAAACATGAAATAGATAAAAAATAAGAAAGGTTTTAAATGAATGAATGTGAGACTGTGCAATGATATGCATAAATTCTGACAATGAACGTGAACATGACATGATGAACATGAAACCATATTATTACTACTGCAACTTCTTTACATGTAGAAGGAAGCATCAGTAATATTTCTGTAGAACATGAAACCATATTATTACTACTGCAGAATGAAGCATCAGTACTGTAGAAGGAAGCATCAGTAATATTTCTGTTTGTTATAATTTTGCCTCTGACAAGGTAAATACTCCATCTCGCAATGAATGATAGAAGGAGGATAAAAATAGTAATTTATTTAAGGCATTCTGGTACATGATAAAGTATTCTCTTTTTTTGGTAACATTGGATAGTTATAATTAGGTAATTGGTTGTGAAGCGAGAAGTTGGGAGTTCCATTCCCCACTGTGTCTCCCTGTGAAGCGAGAAATTGGGAGTTCAATTCCCCACTGTGTCTCCTTGACAGGAAATGGACTCAATGATTGACAGGCTCCCTTCAGCTCTAAGACGATGATGATTATGATTATCCTCTCTGGAAAGTGCTTAGCTTATGTACGAAAATTCATAAATGAGTTTAAATCATTATATCAGCTTCCTTACTCAAATAATACGCCAAATATGAATTTGATTTTTTTTTTACAAAAAAATGAAAACAGTACCTGCTTGTAAACTTGCCGTAAATACATAATCTCTTCCACAGTTCCCAAAGATATAAGCCTAAATACTTTCACATCCCTGCATTGGCCAATCCTGTATGCTCTGAAAAACCAATGTTTTGAGTGTTAAAACAAAAAAACAGAACTTGATATGCAATATGTTTTTAAAAATGTTAACAATAAAAAAAATGCCTCATACCTGTCAATGGCCTGAAGATCATCTTGATATGCAATATGTTTTTTAAAATGTTAACAATATTAAAATACCTCATACCTGTCAATGGCCTGAAGATCATTAGCTGGATTCCATGTTGGATCAAACAGCACAACAATATTAGCACCAACAAAATTGAGTCCGAGTCCACCAGCCCTTTACAGTAACAGAAGGAATGAAAAGGTGAAGAATATGTACAAAAACAGATTAAGGCAAAATGTGCCATTATATGTTATAATAAATTACTGTGTCATTATATGTTATAAACAATTTTGCTGGACAAACTGATGGCAAGTCTAAGTCTTCCCAAAGACTAACAACCTGCAATTAAATTATGGCTAGAATACTGTTGTGCCGCTTTATACTACGTAAGGCTGAGGCCCTCATCAGCCATGCCATTTTTTTTTCATAAATTAAAAATCTGGGGGTTGTGAGATGGGGTAAATCAAATCTTTAACTTCCAAAAATTGCTGCTAACAGTAAAATCATTTCATCCATGGCAACTTTCAGACTCACCCATACACATCTCCTATGGCAACAGGATGTATGTGCAATTCAACACATATAAACTAAAGTACTTCACAATGCCTGCAACCCTGCCCTACAAAATACACCCCACAAATATTAGGGTATGCATTGCCAAACATGCATCTCACCATAATAAATACACTTATTGCCATTTTATAATCAGTCAAAATTCCACCCAAACCACTCCAATCCCATACAGTGGCTGCCCTATCATCTCCTATCATCTCTTACTACAGCCAATGTGAAACAGCAGCTATTTTGACTACATGTGCATTCACTTGGAATGGTAGGACATCATTATAAGCCAATGGTTTGACAGTCCCTGTTAAGAAAAGCTAAAAACAGAACGCTTTGACTGATAGTATATTCCTTGTTATGTCTGAACACGGCAAAGGTTAGCTCTCTAGGTGGTTTCTCCCACAACTAGAAAGAGAAAAACAAACTTCAGATTATTTCTGGCTTGTTAGGAGAAAGACAAGACAAGACAGCAGACGACTGTCAATGTTCAGACAATATGAGAAACAAAACACAGAGAAAAGTAGTTTCTTTAACTACTCCTCTTACAAAGTGTAACAATTGGAACATGTGAATCAAGAAACAGACTCATCAATGGAAAGTTAGAAATTATACTGAATTCTGATTTGTTGTGTCATGAAAAACCCAGCCACCGAATATGTTGTTTCATAACATAAGGTTATTTTCATTATTTTCCTATCAACCTTTTCATTAGCTGCATTTCTCTGTTCTGTGAAAAGCTTCAATATTCAAATAGCCTAATTTGCCATGCTCCAGTTTGAAGACACACTTTATGCTAATCTGGGTTTCCAACAAAAAGTCGAAAGACATGCTTTCCAAACACCCTTAAAATTGTATGCTTACATTTCTGTTTAACACTTATTTCCCATCATTTTTAAGATCCCCAGTCTCCCAAATTAAGCAATTTAGAAAATGTTCTTTTTAAATAATTGTCTAAAGTTAAACCTTATCCACGTTAGGGCATTTCAGGGAGACATGAAAACAGTGCTCTTGTTTGGATCACGTATAAATTAATTAACACGTATTTTCCAAATTGCATGTACCAAAGTGCCTTTGCGCTGTGGAAATTTATTTTTCAGAGTAAGACATTTTCCTTACAAATGCTTCAGAACAATTGAATTTCTAATATATTTTGGACGGTCACAGGATTTGTAACAGCTTTAAATTTAATCCATCAGATTGACATGTTTCCTCTTTTGACTCCCATTTACCAAATGGGAGATCCTATCGAGTTTCAGCAGGAAAGAAATAACTAGCTTTCTAGCTAAAGACACTCACTTCAAATTATTTTTGCTCTCAAAAAGAACAACAGAAATACGCTACAGATAGTCAAAAGTAATTACAGATTTTATTCTGGGCTTTTGCACAAGCTGGTAGATGTTATTGTTCTTGAAGCAATAAATAAATTAAGTGCATTCCAAAGTCTATAATTTTAGCTTTTACCACTCTGAAATCTTCCGGAAAGCAGGTAGATGTTACATTAAACAAAGGAAAAGTAATCTCAGAATTTTAGTCTGTTATTCTGTCTAAGCAAAAAGAAAGTGCTTGATCCTGGTGAAAGAACTGGGAGGAGGGGGTCAGCTGGAGCCAGAGAAAAGGGAAGAGTATGACATGGTCTGGCTCTCCCATAAACACAGCTGGAAATATACGAGCACTGGAAACATTAACTAGGGGAGGGGGGCTGAGGACATCTTAGCTGTGCTGGTAGAATGCAATATAAGATAAAGTGGAATGTTTCCATTCTTCACTGTGAGAGAAGGGAGTCTGATGGAGCCTGATTTTGTTGTATGACACAACAACAGGGTGAGGAGGCTGCTGATCTATATTTATTGTTGAGTACTACATCACAGAACTAAGAATAAACACCTTCCTTGAAGGTTAATATACCGTGTTATCACCAAATACAGAAAGATGCTCAACAGAATAGTGATTTTATTTCACACTGTTTTGAGTTCTTGACTGACATAAATGAAAGTGCACCTTTTAAATGGCAGGGATTTATGAATCTAGACTGACTGACTGACTGCAGTCATAAAATATAATAATAGTTATAAATATTCCTGATCTAATTTGCACATTTCTATTTATACACGTCACTGCTGGCTTCACTCACACACAAAAAAACCTTAAGAGGAACAGCTTTTGAAAACAAATGTGTTTATGACCACGTCAGTTGTGAACCTGAAACAAAACTTTATTTAATACAGTATTATCACTCACCAGTTTCAGATCTTAAGTGATATCTGGAAGGAGAAGAAAAAGGCTAGAGCAAGATGGAAATACATAAGGGATATGACCCATTTCTAGTTTCTACCCTAATAGCCTTGATTGATGCAGTCTACTTTCCAGTCTTCTAATGGCAGACAGTAATGTTATTGCCTCTTCTCAAGCAAGTGACAAAATGCAAGTTCAAGCAAGCAAGAGTGCAGTAAATGTGCTGTAAACCTCTAACTACCTAGACAAAAGCCGACAGCATTTTCTTACATTGTAGACACGAGGCATATGTTAACTTCTTCCATGCTGTTGAACTCTTTTACTATCTTGACCCTGTCCTCTGCCTTTGTATTTCCATCGAGTCTTCGGTAATCTAGCCCAGATGCCATGCAATATTGTTCTAAAACATCAAGCAACTGATGGAAAAGACAGGGAGACCAGGCAATTAGTACAATTTAAAAACAACTACAATAAAGCAGACAGAACAAGTGTCTTAAAAGTCTGTAGCAAGCAGTCCAGAGGTGCCCTAGCAGAACTTCTTTCCCAAAAGTCTGACAGTCACATACTGTATATTCATCAGACTTAGAAACATTTGTAATGTATTTATTTTGCATTTGCCATAATAATAATACCGCTTTCTTAGCTGAATTAACAAAATATTCATTTGACAAAGGAATTTCAAATTATATCTACAATTATTTTTAATCAACCCAGTAACCCTGCCTTCACATAACACCATTTCACATGCTTAATCAACCACACACACAAATTCTATGCATAAAAAAGGCACAATAACTTGGCCTAGTCACAATACAATTCTATAAATACATAAATATAGCTAAGAAGGAAACTTCATGGACAGCCATGGAATTTACTTCAAGTTGGGTATATGAATACATCCTTAGTTGCTCCAGAAGTTGCTTCATGAGCAATGGTTTCCTCAGAAGGAAAATATTTCCATGTAGGAAAACATGGAAATTACATACAGATCATGGAATAATCAGATATGTTATTGATTAGTGTAGCATATAAGCATGCAGCAAAACAGTCAACTGTGCAACTTTGTACTGTAAATATATTTTGTGTATATTTGCTTAAATGGTAAGCAACTGGGGTTGACTGACAGTTTTATGTTGAATGTGTGCCAGAAATGACAGTTATGAGAATTGTGAAGAGTAAAAGAATGTTTATGAGTGGAACTGAAAGCTTAATGGTCTACGTAGTTCCAGAATGTACATAAGGGTGAATGTGAGAGAAACTTAGTTATGTGAGTTAGAGCTGTGGATTGGTCAGAGTCTGAGAGTCGGGAAGAGAGAGAGAGAACAAGTGTGGTCTGTTCTGGTCAAAACATCTCTCTCTCTCTCTCTCTCTCTCTCTAAGGAACAGAAAGTGTTTATATTCTTTATGATTTATTTATTTGATTTTTATACCGCCCATATGGCAACCAAGGCCACTCTGGCCAGTTTACAACAATATAAACAATAACAATGACAGAATAATAAGATATAGAAAAGCTACCAAATACAATGTAAGAAATACACAACAAACAACAATAAGGAACAGCGTAAAACATCATAAAATAAAAATAAGATAAAATAGGATAAAATAGAAAATAATTATAAAGAAGAAAAGTAAAAGCAAAAGCTTATAAATATATATCGATATAATTATATATCAAGAAACATTTTTCTTACACGTTGTTTTTAACGTGTTCACCTTCTACATTTTTTTTAAAAAACCTTCTGATTTATAAAACAGCTGTAAGGTATTATACTCCTACTGTATATACCACGGGTTGGTGCTTTGACACATTATACGACGGGTTGGTGCTTTGACACATGGTTTATGTAGTGTTACCACAGTAAACAAAGCTTTGTTTCCCTCAAAAAATATTCTTACTTTTAAAAAGGGCAGTCTGAAGTCAGCCCTTAGGAGTGGGAGAGGTAAAACAGCAGCATAAAAGGGAACGCTGACTGTTTGCCTAGGTTGGAGGTAGGGATTTTCAACTAGAAAGAGTCCTCTTTGACTTTTTAAAATGCCAACCTGGAACTGAGTGCAGGGACCGTCACACAAAATATTATAGCAAAAATCCTGTTTGAAAAACTGTGCACACAAGTGTAAATGTGCAAGCAGTACTCTTTTGTGGACTGTCCCTTGTACAATTTATTGCATGACTTCTCACACGGCCAGTACATGGCTATCACAGTAAAGTCAGTCCACTGGATTAAGGAGCCACTTCTGTGACTGCCCTTCCATTCCACACTTCCTCAACAGGATTCTGGCCTAACAGTGAAAAAGCAAAAAGGTGAAAGGTAACTTTTCCCCCCCAATCATTATGCTTCATTACATCATTTATCACTTCAGCTATATTATAAATGGTATGCAACTCACCTTGGTTGAAAATGAAAAAAGAAGCACTTTATCTTTGTTCTTTCTAAAGTGATTTAGAAGTTTCTGCAGCACCTGGAAATGAACCATGGAAAATAACACTGGCTGAACAAATACTACAGCTTTCCAAAATTAGGGCTTTGAAAAACACAGACAAAAAATTGGGTGAACAAATACAGTGATGCCTTGACTTACGAATGTCCAAATTGGGTGAACAAATACAGTGGTGCCTTGACTTACGAACGTCCAAACCTACGAACATTTTGAGATAGGAACAGCTCTGTTTGCAAAATTTTGCTTTGACTTGCGAACGGAGGTTTGACTTACGAATGAAAAAAGAACGTGGGGAAGGCAGGAAATTTGAACTTTTAGTTAAGTGTTGGCCAGCGAAGAGGCTGTTTGTCTGCTATCTCGCTCACCCCAGCGGTTAGAGAGTGTGGATACGGAGAGAGACTTCAGACTGCCTACTGCCTGGTACTGTACTGTATGGACTGTATTTTCTTTTGGCTTTTTTATTTTTGGATTTTTGACTTTTTTTAAAAAAAACAGAGAGATTGCCTGTTCTGGGTGAGTACACTGTATTTACTGTACGGGGGCTTTGCAGCTTGGGATTGGACTAGGTGGGGGGGTTATATTTCTGTGCTGGCTGTTGGTTTTAAAATCAGAAAACTATTTGCAAAGGTCTAGCTGGCTGTTGGGCTCTAAGATGCATTTTAAATCTTTTGGTTGCTTGGTTTAAAATGTGTTGTTGTAAAATGTGTGGGTTTAAAATGTGTTTTAGACTCCAAACTCTCTCTCCCACCCCCAATTGTCTTCTCTCTGTGTGTGTCTTCTCTCTTTTTGTGCTTAAAAGCACAAACCTTTGTCTGAGGGGTCTGTGTGCCCCAGTGATGACCTTCTTTCTTTCTTTCCTATTTTTCCCCATTGTTCCCTCCTTTCCTGCCTTTTTTTAAACCTAAATTCATCTGAGGTTAAAAGAAGAAAAATTCTCCCCCTAGTGGTAGAGGACGGATTAACCAGTTTTGCATTAGTTCC